AGAGCTTCTTGAAGTAGTGGCTGCAGGCCGCCAGCACGGCCCTGTGGGTGCGGTACTCCAGACCCTGCGTTCGGATGGTGAGGTCACACAGGTGGCCCAGCTGGCGCTGCTCATTGAGGCAGCTCAGGAGCTCACTGCTGTGGTCGGGGAACGGAATCCCAATGAGGTCATCCTCTGGGCTCCCCATCTTCTCCTGCAGTGGCAAACAGAGGAGAGGAGCAGGGTAAGAACTCGCAGCCCTGCCTGGGGGTGGCCTGGGGGCCAGCAGCCTTTATGGGGCACTGACGAAGGTTCCCCGGTTTGTGACAAGCCTGACAGCAGAGCTCTCCTCGAGTTTTCTAGGCTGTGGCCCTTACCAGATGACCTTACCCGGGCTTTTCCCTTATTGAGCCGCCGGTGGATTCGCACCACGGAGGGGAGCGGAGCGGAGCGGAGCGAGCAGAGCGGCTCCCCTGGCCGGGCGGGGCCCCCCCCGCTGCCCCCAGGGGGGGGCGAGCCAATCAGGCCACCCCGCCCCCTTCTCCAGGACCCCATGACTCAGCGCTGGGAGCAGGGCGGAGGGCACTGGGATGGCTCCTTCCCTACAGGCCCAGGCCCCCGTCGGCCTTTCAAGCTTCTACCTTGCTTCCCCCACTGCTACCCTTCCTCCGCTGCCCCCTCTTTGCATAATTCACGGCCTGGAAAAGGGAACAGAAACCAGGAAGGAGGGGTCTCGGAAGGGAGGGGCAGTCTTTCACCCCCTTAACACAGCCAAAACCCCAAGGGGGTATGGGGCGGGGCAAGGATTTGGTCCCAAGCCCCCACCCCTTAGAAACCCGCATAGCCGAAGAGGAACCCCACGAATCAGAAATACATTATTGCTTCTACTCCCCAGGAGCAGCTGGGGACGGGACCCCACCTCTACAATAGAGCTGTAAATATATATATATATATATATGAATATATATATCTTATGTGTCGCTCCTTGGGGATTACCCCAATTTGGGGAGCCTCGGCCCCAAAACCTTCTCAGCTTGGAACTGGAATGAGGGCTTGGGGAGAAGGGGCTCTGCGCCCCTGGCCCCAGCTGGCTGTCCTGCTTGCTCCCACGGCTTGGCATGGGTGTCCGCGCGCGGCCTTGTGCTGCTCCATCCTGGCCACCTATCCCTCTTTAAGAGGACTCCGTGGCACCTTCTGCCTGGGGCGTGGTGGGTGTCCCCTCTTCATCGTCGTCATCGGGGGGCCCCAGGGTGGAGGTTGGAGGCCCAGTGGGGGCTGACTGCTCCCAAAATCGAGCCAAGGAAAGGCGGAAGGTGTCCAGGTGGCCATTGGAGAGATCGAGCCCCGCAGGGGAGAGATCGAGCCCGGCAGGTGACGGGGTGGCGGTCGCAGGTGGCGGGTAGTGGGGGGGCGCATCATCCTTGCGACGCCGCCGGGTGCGCACTTCCAGGCAGTTCTGGCCCTTGAGGTGGCGCTGCAGGTGGTCCTCCTTGGCAAACGCCTTGTGGCACAGGTGGCACTCATAGGGCCGGTCCCCTGTGTGCAGGTGCATGTGGTTCTTGAGGTCGTAGCTGTGCAGGAAGCGGGCTGGGCAGTGCGGGCACGAGTAGGGGCGCTCTCCCGTGTGCTTCCGCATGTGGATTTTCAGCTTGTCATTCCTAGCGCAGGCAGGGGTGCGGGGTGGGTGGCAAGGGAGGGAGGGGTTCAGAATGGGACCATGGCCATGCCCCACGCCTGTCCCTTGACTTCTGTGGTCCATCATCTGACCCAGAATCCCCTTGCTGACGTGCCCCTGCCTTCGCTGAGCCCCGCCATCACCCACTCCTCTGCCTCTAGCCCTGCCTCCTTGGGCACCGAACCCTTCATGGCCTACCCACCTCCTCTCCTTCCTCTCTCCCCCTCCTGTGCCCTCCCGGCCTCCTTTGTTGGCATTTTCAACTCACCCCTGTACCCTGGAGGGACCCCTGGAGGGACCGCTGATTTCCACGCCTCAGGGTCCTACCTCTTTCCCCCTGGCCCACTTCAGCACGGCCCCCCCAGCCCCCCACCCTCCCCTGGAGTGCTCACCGGGTGAAGCGGACGCCGCAGACCTCACAGGCGAAGGGCTTCTCGCCCGTGTGGGTCCGCATGTGGCGAGGCAGCTTGCCGGCCCCGTGGATAATCTTGTGGCAGACCGGGCACTCCTGGGGCATCTGGGAGCGGCGTTTGCGCACCAGTTTGTCCTGGCCGTCCAGGCCGGGCGTCATGGTGTCCTGGTGCAGGGAGCTCAGGTAGGCCATCAGGTCAGGGTCGATGGCGTCCTCATCCGAGCCCAGCTCCTCCGGGGACAGTGGAGGCCCACTGCCCTGGGCCAGCCCATAGGCTTGGGGATAGACCAGCTCTTCCTCTTCTTCCTCACCCTCATAGCCCTCATAGCTCAGGGGCCCGCCGGGGGGCGAGGCAGTTCCTGCAGGAGGGCTGTAGCTGTCCCCCAGCCCACTGCCACCACTGCTGCCTACTCTGCCTGCCACCTCCTCTTCCTCCACGGTCAAGGGATGGGCGGGCACCGCTAGCACCTCGGGCACCAGGTGGTTCGCCCGGGCACCCTTGGTCTGCAGGAAAGCTTTCCGGGGCTTGCGGCTGCGGCGGGCGACCGGCCGGGGCGGTGGCAGCTGAGGTGGCGGTGGCAGGGGAGCCTGTGGGGGGCTGTCCTCACCGTTGGGCACTCCAGAGGCCGCCGCTGTGGCAAAGGCCTCCAGGTACTGGCGGGCCCGCTCACAGTCGTCCTCATCGGGGCTGGGCGCTTCCAGCCCGCTGCCCTGCAGGATCTCCATGCAGGCGGCGATGACGCAGGGGATCTCCAGCAGGCGGGCGGCCTGCAGCACGGCCGGCATGTTGGCGCTGCTGGTGGTCAGCGTGGCCGTGTAGGCAAACTCCAGCAGGGCACCCAGCGCCTCAGGCCCCACAAAGTCCAGTTCACACACGCCGGAGGCCCCCGCGCCGCCCCCAGCG